TCCTAGAGGAGATCAACCCTGACTGCTCATTAGGTGGCCAAAGTATTTGAGTTTCATCTTCAGTGTCTGGCCTTCTAAAGAGCAGTCAGGGTTGATCTCCTCTAGGAGTGACCGGTTTGATCGCCTTGCGGTCCAAGGGACTCGCAGGAGTCTCCTCCAGCACCACAATTCAAAGGCCTCAATCCTTCAGCACTCAGCCTTCCTTATGGTCAATCTTTCACAGTCATACATTGCAACTGGGAAAACCATAGCCTTGACTATACACACTTTTGTCAGCACCATGATGTCTCTGCTTTTTAGTATGCGGTCTAGATTTGCCATAGCTTTCCTCCCCAGGAGCAAGCATCTTTTAATTTCTTACCTACCTGAGCTTACCTACCTGAGCCCAGCTTCCACGCCACGCCATGCCATGCCATGCCGGCACTTGCAACACATTCAAAATATTTTTGTATTTTTGTATTTAGTGGTAATTTATTATGTTCTATTGTAGTTCAATAGAATTGTGTTGTAAGCCGCCCCGAGGCTTCGGCAAGGGGCGGCATAGAAATGTTATAATAATAATATAATAATAATAACACATTCAAAGCCTCTGCACTCAACGATCTTATTCAACCTGGTGAAGACTATTTTCTTCTCTGTGGCCAAGGATTTATTTTGCATGCCAAGACTTCCAAGATTCAATCACCAGCATTTCCAGTTAGAAGGAAGCCTTCATGGTCTGCCTGGGACCCTGGACAGCTACTGCTAGGCAGGGCAGGAAATGCTGGGCACGGTGGATAAAGCAATCAGACCGTTATGACAAAACATGAAATGACATGTAATATATTTCGTGTTCATATATAGCTCTGCACAGATGGAAACTTGGCATCTCCCCCATTCTTATCATGCTCTTTCTTTTTATTTATAAATAACAGTGCTTAATATAATAACACCTTTAAGTGGTTGACATACAAATGTTTCTGTGTTTCTACATACAAATATGTTAGAACAGTCCTGTTAAAATACAGTTAATAAACAATTTAAACTACAACAATAGGAAAGATTGAGCGAGAGAGAGAAGAGGCAATTAAAAGAAACAATAAAACAAAGCAGCGTCGTGATAGTTATAAGGCAGAGAAAACACGAGCAGATAAGTCTGTTTCCTGCAGGTGTTTAAAATACATCACATTTCCTGCCTCTCCCCTGGCAGAGAGGACGGTGTTTCACGGGGGGTGTGCATTTTTTGAGAAAGTCTTGCTTTTGAGAAATTGCAAGGTGAGCTTTCAGAAAGCCTTGTCTTAAAGAATGCCTGGAAATACGGGCCACTACATAGGGAAAGATGCTCTGTGAATGGACTCATCTAACCAGAGGCTCCCTGATCATTGAGCCAAGTGCAGCATAGCATTTCTCAGATTTGCACCTGCAAAACTGGGGCTGGTTGAGGGATTGTGTCCTTTCCTCCTGGCATTGGCTGACCATAATCGGGAAGGATTGCCACCAGCTGATTGCGTGAGGCCACACAAAGGCAGACCAAGCACCAGAGGAAGGCAGTCAGTTATTCATATCATGCAAAATGCCTTGGGTGAGTTCCTGCTTGCCGTGTTTTTTCTTTTAAAAATGAGATTTTTCCACTTTCAACACTTTCCAGAACACTGTAGATTTGATATGAGCTGCATTTGCACGATCTCTGACTACTGCTAAGGGTCTTCCAGTGTTTTGCTAAGCCTCAGTGTAAACTCCCAGTCTAAGCAGAGGAATTGGCTGCAAGATCAGACGCTCGGCAGTGCCAATAACTAACATGCTGGATTGTGTTTACATAGCAAACACATGCCGGAAAGGCAAAAGGAAGCAGGCCCATAGGGATGCCATCCAAATTTCGGCAGGAGAAGGATGACAGATGCCTTAGCTCTGCCCTGTACAGAAGGTGAAGAAATAGCATCACCCGGTATGCAAATGCCAGCACAGAAGTTAATGGCTGTCCACTTTAGCTGCAGATAGATCCTGACAGCTCTGGTTGTATAGCTGGAAAATTAGCCAGCCAGCTTCAACTGCTTCTGCAGGCAATTAAACAAGGGTTGACTCTAAAGGCCATATTTGTTCTAGACTCATCATATTTCCAAATACCACAGGAGCTTGCATTTTTGCTGACTAGCCTAAGTCCCTTACTTCAGCATTTAGGAAGTTCTAATAAAACTGTAGATTGCACCGATGTGGGCAATAGGGCCGGCTTCTCAAGCAGCATTCGGTCCAGCAGGGTAAAGAAAGTCACCAGGCAGCATGGACTTGGTAGAGTAAGCAGACCTCAAGGCATTCACCTCTTGCATTGATAAGACTCGGGGTTGCTGCTCATGTTACCTTTTGAATGGTGGGAAAGTCCACAGGCTGTTGCCTGTCCATGGGCCAGTGGTCAACTTTGTATAGAGCAATGTTTAATGTTCTCTGTATAAACCAAGTATGCACCCTAGAACTCTCCCAGAATCCTCTGCAGCTCAAGAGTGATGTGTCCAGTGCAAATTAATAAGTAATTACCAGTTTTCTTTAGAAGTGCAGCACATCTCACCATAATAGAGAAGACTGCCCCTCTGTACCACGTGCTGGCTCAGTCCTTCCTCCAGTAATTGATCATGGGCAACATCAAGGCCTGCAGAGATAAGGTCCCTTCCCCCCAAGACATCTACTGAGAGATGGGCTTAGATTCATGTTTTCTGAGTTTGTAATCTGACTCGTGAAGTAAATGATCTTTCTTCCTTTTGTAGGTCCTGAGCAATGAGAACACATTGATGCTAAAGAATGTGCACCAAGAGGATGCTGGGAAGTATGTATGCCGAGCTGTGGTCCCACGTGTGGGTGCAGGAGAACGGGAAGTATCTCTGACTGTCAATGGTACTTCACTTTGACTATCTTGATTGCTGTCTTACCTTCCATGTCATTCTCCCTATTCCAAAATGCCCTGGGTCAACCTCATTCAAGTGAAACAGTACCAGCTAGTTCCCTGCCTGAGAGCCTAGACTCTTTGGAGCATGGGAGAATATATCATCATCATATCATTATCATTGCTATTACTTACAGCTGCCTTCTCCTGGTCACATCTTTCCAGCAACCCCAACTGAAATTCATTTGTCATTGTGACACACTGATTTTAATGCAGGCAATGCTGATGAGAGAAGCCAAGGGCCATTGGACAGTCCAGTCACTCCCCTGCCTTCCTCCTAACTCATCAGCTCTCACACTCCCTCTTTCCCTGTTGGATGCTGCTGCTTAATTGCAATTCAAATTGCTTGCAGAAAACAAAGCACTACTTTTGGCAATGGGGAAAGAACCTTGCTTTCTCCCTCCCTTTCATCTCCAGCACAATAACGCTTCACAGCACACTCCACACATTCCGGAGCACAGGGAGTAAACTGCTGAAGCACAGGTGAAAGCAGGGGGGTGGGCGACAGAGTCCACAGGAAAGAATCAGCCCCCATGGCCATTTTTGCTCTGAGAAGCCTCCAAGGACCACGATTCTTCTTGAAAACCTGCAAAATCACCTGAGGGCATGAGTGATTTTGTAGCCCCAGTGAGTTCCAGAGAACATCGCTCTTCACAGCTCCCAGAAGTTAGTTGTCTTCTGCAGACAAGATGAGGAGTGGTATCTTGAACCCACAGAAAGACAATCCATTTTTTCTATATTTCCACATGGCAAAAGCAGGCAAGGGAGCCAATGGGAGTAGACCTGTTTGGGTAACTCTCTACTTAAGTTCTGCTGGTAAATTTATTTATTTGCTATACTGCCCAGCAGCTGAAGTTCTCTGGAAATCAAAGCTCTCTGTAAATAAAAACAGTAAGTATGGAGAAAGAGGTCTTTCCAGACTAATGGGTCCCAGCACTAACTGTCCGCTGGCACGGGGCAGCTACTCCATAAAGAAGGGAGATAACCGTGGGCCAGTCACAGGAAGGTTATGAATCAAAGCCAGCATCCCCTGAACCACCCCAAATGTCTACCAGTGAGGCAGGGAGATTGGACAAACAAAGCCTCCTTTGGACTCTCGCAGTGAGAGAACTCAGCCACAGTTTCCCCGTGTGCCATAGCATGCTTTGCACACAAATCCCAGGTCATTCTCTGGCCTCACTAGCTCAAATAACGTCAGCAAGCAGATGATACAACAGAGTTTTCCCTGACCTCTGGAGAGCCACTGATTGTTGGTGTAGAAAATAGTGAACCAGGCCAGCCTTCTCACACCTGGTACCCTCCAAATCTCTCGGACCCCACAATCCAAGCACCATGCTGTCGCTGCGGCTGGTGGGAATTGTGGTAAGGGCATCCTGGGGATCTCTGGAAGCTTCATGCATGCTCCTAAGACACGTAAGAAATACAAGGTTCAGTGCTGGTGGTGAGAACCAGAGAGAGCCACAGGCACTAGGCAGTCCAAGAGAAACTGACCAGTGTCTCCCCAGGGCTCCACGTTATATCTTTGGCCCACACAGCTGGTTCAGGAGAAACTCTTAGACAAGTCTTCCTCCTTTTGCCTTTAGGTCAAGGGTAGATGGCATTTAATCCTGAGTTATCATCCCCCAACATTAGGACCATCTATTTCCCTGTGTATAGGAAATCCTCTCCCAGGATGGAAATAAAATAAAAACTTGGCACCTTATAAGAAAACCATTCTTAGTATGACTTCCACCAGCCCTGATAAAGAACAGGGAGGGGAGAAAAGCTGAGATGCCTGCCAATTGTATACGGCGATGTTATCAGGGCCTGGGCCCTCACCAGTGTAATAATAAGGATAAATGACCAATTGCCTGGAAGGGAAGATACAGCACAAACCAATTTGCTGCAGGTAATCTTGTCAAGCAGCCCCTCTATCAAGACTCCTTCTTTTCCTGGTTTTATCCCAAGCACTAGACAATGGTTTTAACAAAAGGAACTGTGATTGCACCACCAAGTTAGAGTCTGGGAGCAAGGAGCAGCCCTAGAGGCACGGAAGCAAGAATCAAACTAGCAGAAATGTTGTCAGCTTATCTGCAAGAATCCTAGCCAAGCCATGACTTTCTCATGCATGCATGCATGCATGCATGCATGCATGCATGCAGAGAGAGAGAGAGAGAGAGAGAGAGAGAGAGAGAGAGAGAGAGAGAGATCACCTCCATCCTCAGCCATCTCTAGGCTGTTTTATTTTCTAGTCTCACCAACTAGATGGTGCAGAACTGTGCAGTGTTTGTGCACCTGTGGAGTCTGTTTTCTGCTACACTCGCATCGTTCAGGCCTTCTTCCCTGATGCATGAGGGACTCTATTAGTCTTTTCTCTATATTGATTGGCAGTAGAGATCTGGTTAATTGGAAACCCTGCTTCAGAACGCTGTTCCAGCACAGCCCGTGGCCCTTCCTTTTTATCTCAAATGTCCAGAATCCTGCACACCCATCTCAAGCAAGACAGTTCTGAGATAAGGACGTGCTGCTTCCCAATTCATAGCAAAGCCCGAGAACAGAACTTCTAGGCACTTGCCATGAAATCAGTCCAGCCCTGGAAGTAAAGGAATGGTGCAATTAATTATCTAACTATGCAAATATTTACTTCATATGCATAAGTGGGAGGGCGGAGGACCATAGCTTTAGGGTTCACTCCACAGCGAAAGATGAGCAAGCCAGGACATTTGCCAGCATTGGTCAAAGTTTCGTTTTGATTGTGCCCAAATTCTCCGGACTTTATTTCAGAGCTCAGTTCGGTTCACCCCGGTATTGGTCTGCGATCTCTTTTGCAATGTTTTCAAACAAAGAACAGACACCTTTCAAATGGGACTTTTCTGAGCACATTTTTCAAAAAGTATGCACTTTCTGCCATTGAATAAAGCATGCGAATGCACATTTTTGAAAAATATTCCTTTCTTAGTCTGCCTTTTTCACTGCAACTGCAAGTTTTAGAATGTGTGAATAGCTTTTGACAAAATGTGCTCCCATTCATATTTGGATTGCAAATGGAGCCTGTTGGGATGTTTTGCAAACTGAAATGAATTTCTTATAGATTGCTACCCTCAACTCATCTTAATTTTAATTAGGTGTCTTTTCAGCAAAATTAAACTAAACAAAAACATTAAAAAAAAAGAAAAATACAGGTTTTTACCTAAATTGAAATGAATCACTTCAAATAGGGTGTTAAAATACATAAAATACAAAAATATATAAAATACAAAAATATGACTATCAAAAGAAACGATTATGCATAACTGTCAAGAATGGCAGACTAATACACATGCATTTATCACCCATTCATTTAGTCCTGAATCCATTATTTTATAGGAGGTGGGCATTTATCTTCCCAAGTGGTCTCATGATTGCAAGGGTGAAATGCAATGGTGACACCCATCCATCTCTGCAGTCAGGGCTATTTATTTATTTATTAGATTTATATCCCCCTTTTTCTGTTAAAGAACTCAGAGCAGCTTACATGCGCTGAGCCTCCTGCTGCTCTCAATTGCATCCCCACAACAACAGCCCTGCAAGGTAGGTGGGGCTGAGTGTCTATGACCTGCCCAAAGTCACCCAGCTGGCTTCATGGCTGGGCGGGGAAGAGCACCTGGATCACCTGAATCCCAGGCCGGTGCTCTTAACCAGTACGTCACACTGACTTTCAATAGGATGCTGGGCCTCCTGTGCAGGATGGGAGCGCACGTACCTTCCACCCTGCAACTCAGTTAAATGGCTGGTCTGCCTGCCCAGCCAAGACATTTCAGAGTGGAGGAATGGAGGCTGAGGAACCACCTTGATGCTTCCTATCTTGCCTCCTCCCTTCCCGATTCCCCTCCCCAGCCAAGCCCCCTTCTCTAAGGTTGCTGCTACAAACCCTGGAGGAGCAGCCAGAATGGCTCTTTCCGTGCTGGCTATGGGGAGGACATGGAAAGGGAGTCCAAGCATGAAAACTCAGCTACGAGATCTCCAAAATACCCTATAGCCATCTAGATGCTGTTTAATGGCCACAGGACTGAGCTGCCCACTGTCAAAATTCCACTGTTCACCTTAATGTCTAAAAGACATTGAAAAAATGATCTCTTTGCAATTGGACACTGGGAAAGATTTGCCCCTTCAGTGTTGTGGTTGCAAATTAGGACCACAAGCAATTACGCTCAGGTGGGAAAAGACATGGCTTAGCTGTGCCTTTGGATGACATGTAGGTTGGCATATGATAGAAATATGTGATACTCACTGGGACAAAAGACCACCTTCCCTGGTGGATGGACTTTGTCTGGCCCAACGGAATAGAAGGAAAGCCCACCCCAAGAAGCTAGGAAAGGAAGCTGCTCACTCAGAAGGCTGCCCCTAGAAATTCTGGGCCATCTTGTAATCACAGCAAGGGCCTCCAGTCAGAGATCTGCCTTTTCTTTTGCTTGAGCTTCTGGGGCAGCACAAATAAATTGGCACCAAGGCTCTAAAAATAACTGTAACGGATCGTGCCACTATTAATATCCATAGCAACACCATCCAAAGACTTTCACATCCCGGGGATACTGCAACACTCAGCACCAACTTCCAAATGAGGAGACTGGCAGCCCTCACTAACTGACAGTGCCCCTGCTGAGGAAAGAGGCGCCCCTCTGAATCTCTCCCTCTCCCCCCCCCCTCTCTCTCTCTCCCACACACACACACACACACACACACACCTGTTACCTGCCTCACGCATTTGTTTTTTCCCAAAAAATCATCCTGCAGACATGTCCAGTTATTCTGGCAGTAAGCACCAGATGACAATTCCTGGAAGGGTAAAATCATCCTGAAGAACTCCTCTTCCCCTTTGGTACTATTTAAAATCTACTTACCTGAAGGGCAGTGTGAGGATTGGTTCCCTCCTTTGAAGCGAAGGCACTGCTCACCATCTAACCTAAGCAATTCTCTTGGAATGGTGAGCATCATCCGCAGACAAAGGCAGGCATGATCAGGTACCTCCTGATCTCCCCCACTGTACCAGAGGCCCACACACAAGAGCCCCTCTTGCCTCGCCCTTCCTTTTCACCACTGCAAGGAACGCACCTGCTCGTCCACCTGTGCCTCGCTCCAGCTGGGACGCCAGTGCTGGTGACGAGGGTGCCAGGGCCTGCTTGCTCACCAGCTCTCTGCCTGGCAAGCAGGCCAGGGGTAGCAGCACTGGGAACAGAGGCAAGAAGCTGGTGGCAATGGGAGGGGCGGGTTCCAGTAAGAGCATCTGACGTTCTTCTAAAATCCAGAGCTGGCACTGAGCACCTACCATGGGAAACAATATTTCAATGGCCAGGTGTGAAAGGGAGATAAGCCAGGAGCCCCAATCTTGCCAGAGATTAGTACTAAAACTCTTTTAACTCCATTCAACCCCATGCGTGTGTAAAGAAACCCGAGGCTGACGTGAGCTAAGCAGTTGTTACCCAAGGGAGTTAACTGGGAACGCTAAACCTTAGTTACTATCTCTGGATGCCAAAGCTGTTTGTTTCACAGAAAAAACTGACTGCAGGAGGATCATGGTACCAGGAAGGGTTGCCCTTAAAAGAAAACCAGACAGACCCAAAGCTTTGCTCACACTGTGCACAAGGAGCCCAAACGCCCATTCTTCCCATCATCCCCCTTTCAATGCACACACACACAAACACGTGAGTCGGTGAGATGTGCAAAGGGAAGGAAGCTAACAGGAGCTACAGTAGATGGCAGAAAGATTCTGTCCTGAACCCCCTGCAAGCTTGCCTGTAGCCCTTGCCCTAATTAAGTGGGGCTCTCAGCTTACTCTCAAAGCCTGGAAGTCCATTGCATAGAATAGAGAAAAATGGCTGGTAGAAAGAGACAGACAGACAGACAGACAGACAGACAGACAGACAGACAGACAGAAGAGGTGGCCCATCTACTCTGGGTTCTGGTTGGTGCTGCCAAACAGTCCTTGACAAATTGTTGTTGCTATTATGTGCCACCAAGATGCTTCCAACTGCTCGGCAATGCCGAGATAAAGGCTGTGGCCTCCATTATAGATTCAATCCATCTCATATTAGGTCTTTCCTTTTGTTTTCTGCCTTTGACTTTCCCTAAGCTGATAGTCAAGGGAACTCAGCCCTGGATAGAAAAAGAAAGCAACACCCCTAGTTTCGAGCATGGAGGAAGCTCTCTCTCGCACACTCACACACACGGCTGTTCTTTCCATAGTATACCCCTGTTGGTGGTTTAATTCCTTATGGCTCAGCAAAGATATGAGGACTGTTCTCTGGGTAAAAAGAAGTCAAGAATGTAAAGTTAGGCCAAAAATATAAGTAATTGGTGACATATTTCCCAAGAAAGACTCCCTCGATAAATCAAAGCTTCCATTGCCAATGCCTAATGCTCAGAAAAGCACCTTCTAGCTACATGCAGAGTGCATATCCCACCCCATTGTGTATATAACTGCCGCCATGTATCACAGATTGAAAGGCAGGGTTTAAACCCCATCACACACACACACACACACACCCCTCTCTCTCACTCACACACACACACCATCTTTCCCTTTCAGTCTGTCCTGGCTCTTTGGCCAACAGTCCTTTATTATGAATGAGGTTCAGCACAGATGTTTACCTTAATAATTCCCCAATGGAGCCATCTGGGTCAGGGAACCCTGGTAATTCCCTGCAAACTGCATAGCTAGTGGGTGGTGAGGAAATGGTGGAAGAAACACCTTGCATTGTGCAGGAGCGCCCTCTGCTGGCTACATGTGGATCACCTGTGAAAGCCATTTTGGCTGGCCCAGTCCTAAGATTTTTGGGAGCTTGGGAGAAGATAACACTGATGATGTGATTTTTAGTGCACAGCAAGAAGTTTCCTGTTGATTGCACTTGCATTGCATGGTATCAATACAGAACTATATAGTCAAGCCTGCATTTATCAGCAAAATATAAAATAAAATAATAACACGACTATTCATTTTTCTCTCCCCTCTGTCCTCCTTCACAGGGCCACCTATTATCTCCAGCACACAGACGCAGCATGCGCTCCACGGGGAGAAGGGCCAGATCAAGTGCTTCATCCGTAGCACTCCTCCACCCGACCGTATTGTGAGTCACTGCCTTCCTTGATGTGGGGAGAAGCGTGAGGGAAATCGCTGAGATATTCCTATCCCAGCCCTCAAATATGACTGTTCAGGCAGATTATGTAACGGTGCTTTAAAAAGGTATCATAAAAATACAAGTCAACAATAGAGCAAAATAGAGGGAACGGAAGATGCAGCATAAAGCACGACCTGGTGCATTTCAGTTATTTTGGACTACAGTGGTCGGCACGCCTGACCGCTGGTGATGCTGGGGCTGATGGGTGCTGGAAGGGGTCAAGTTGAGCAGGGTGCAATAACCCCAATGCATATGGAAAGCTAAGAAGTAGTGTTGCTCTTAGGCCTGGGGAAAGGAAAATTAAAAGAATCTTCAGCTAGCACCAACAAGGCACCAGAAAGGTAATACAGTAGGCACCAGGCAAACCTCCCTGGGGGGAGCATTCCATGGTGCCAACACTGAGAAGGCTCTCAACCCAATCAGTACCTGGAAGGCCTCATTTGCAGAAGAGGGCGAGCAAAACAGGCAAAGGACGACTTCAGCATATGTGCGGGCAACTTGTGGCCCTTCAGAGCTTTTGGCCTACAACTCCCATCATCCCTCACCATTGCACTGACTAGGGCTGATAGGAACTGCAAGCTAAAACATCTGGAGGGCCACAAGTTGCCCACCGCACCTTAAGAAATGACTGGATGACACCAAAACAGTGCCTAGCATGTTATTCATGAGTAAAAGAAGAGTCATTGATAGAGTCATTGAAAAGAAGAGTCATTGAAGTTCTGGTGGAAGGAGAAATGTGACAACCAAACTTCACTTAGCCCAGTCTGCTCTCATCTAGGCCTGGTCCTGGAAGGAGAACGTCCTGGAGTCGGGCACCTCGGGGCGATACACCGTAGAGACGGTCAGCACTGATGAAGGGGTGATATCCACATTGACCATCAGCAACATTGTACGGGCTGACTTCCAGACCATTTACAACTGCACTGCTTGGAACAGCTTTGGCTCGGACACTGAGATAATCCGCCTGAAAGAACAAGGTAAGAATTGCTGCCATGGTGCTTCAGATCCCCCAAGGGTCCTCCTTTAGAGTACGGGTGGTTGGGGGAAGCACTAGCAGCTTTCTGAGATTGGAAGGGAGAGGGAGGCAGGGGAACAAGGGGATCTGTAAAGATGAAACAGGTTTTAAGGCCAGTATATCTGGAGGCTTTTAGACACTTTACTATGGAATGGCAGGAAGCCACCGAATGGGATCGCAAGCATCAGATTTTACCAGAGTGGTACAGAGATGAGGGGTCACAAGATGTCCAATTCTGCTAAGATACTGTCAGATGGATGCCTTATGAAAACATGGCAAAGAATGGTAGGAAGGGTCCAAGCTCCCAGGTATACTGGTCCAGTGGTGAGATACTTTGGTGAAGAGTGGCAAAATGAGAAACCTTCTGTGATGCCTGCAGCATTTGGTGACATGTGAGAAATGTAAGTGACATTGCTCAGTTACAGCATCTTCCAATCCAACCCCATTCATCCTCCTGCTGCTCCCAGACCTCATCCTCAGGCAAAAGTTTCAGATTAAACCTTTGAAAGCTAAACAGAATTGAGTTCATTTAAAATTCCCTATGGCACAGAATAAAGGGCTTGTCCCTAGATTCTATTGCCCATCATCAGCCCCTGTACAACTGAAGCGCTCATGTGCTAAATAGGTGCATTACTTCTAATTTTTTCCACAAACACCTGCCCTTCCTTTCATAGGAAAGAAAATCTCTGAACTCCAGAGCAGCTGAGTGCCCAAAAGGCACCCTTGGAGATGTAGCTGCCAGTGGTGTCTTTCTTCTTTTATTCTAGAATAAGCAGAGTAACCCAACACGGCTTGGGTCTCTGACATGAGGGCTCGTTAGCACTGGTGGCTGTGCCTGCAATACTGATTGTCAAAGAGTAGCTTCCTTGCTCTTTGGGATTACTATTTGAAGTCAGGGAAAGGATTAAAGTTCCCGTACCTCAAGTCACAATCCAGATTGAGGGGATGCACATAAGCCACAGTGAAAAGAAAAAGAAACAGGACAGGACAGGCAGACACAACTGCTAGCTCGATCTTTAAAGCCATGCATGCTTTGGTCCTTTGGTGAAGGTCAAAGAAGTCGTACCTTCACTGTCTGCTTGAGGATAGCGCATTCAGATTGGCACTGCAGCAAGGCAACCAGTCAGACCAGACAGAGCTCTTCCACATCCAGTCCCCATGTTGGTGCAAGACTCTGTGGCCACATTCAGACATTATACTGTTATTACTCAAAACCCAGGTTTAGGAGATCTGAAACAAGCTAGAGCAGCCTTCCTCAGCCCGGTCTCCTGGTGCTGCTGGCCAGGAATTCTTTGAGTTGTAGTTCAGCACATCTGGCAAGTGCCAGGTTGGAAATTGCTAAACTAAAGGTTCTCAGTTGGTGTCCGGCAACAGTGGGAAGTTGGACCTGATGGCCTTCATGGCCCCTTCCAGCTCTACTATTCTATGAAACCCACCTGTCCATTTCCTTCCCATCCTCCCTTCTCTCTCCTCCCAGAAGGGAACATATCCTCAAAGCACAATTGGCCAACTGTGGTTTGAGCAAACCCTCCAAAACTACAATCACAGATCAGAGCTTGACCATGGTTTGCAATCCCTGTTTGAGGGATGGTTCAAGGTACCGATAAAGACTTCACAACAAAGTTCAGCCTGAAAAAAACTGAATGTGTTCTTAAGGAAGAGAGAGGAGCCCTCAAGTCCCTCTCTCAATCACTCCAACTCCTCTCAACCATGGTTATCGGGATCATATATATGAAGCCGATGGTTGAAGGAAGTGAGCATAGCATAGATGCAGTTGCCAAAAAGGTTGCTGTCCAGCCACACCAAGCCAGCACCCTCCAGATGTGTGAGACTGCAAGGACAATCTCTCCCAGATGCCTCAGGGTGCCTGACACTGTAGTTCAACATATCTATCTGGAGCGCATCAGGTTGGAGCAGGTTGTTATTTACCAGCTGCTATTAACTAGTGAAGTGTTCTCCATCTCTTCTTCTCCCAGTGTCAGCAGTAGCACCAGGCAGAAAAGGGGAGTTTGGACACAAGTCCACCTGTATCCCTGAAAGATGATTTTAGCTAGGTGTAAACATATCTTTATATCTATCCTACTCCACCTAATTCCTCCTGCCACCAAGAACAATAAGAAACAACCCCACACCATTTATTTATTTCAGTGTATTCTAAAAATTACGCACAGCTCCAATCCACGTGAGAGAGTGCAATCTGCAAGCAGGGGCTGGAAAGGCTCCCCGTTCCACTGAGGCGGCAGCCAAAAATATCAAATGGAAAGAACCAGTTTAGTGGAAGCCGAATCTACGCAAACATGTGCAAGATATTCCAAGCCACTGCCATTGCATCCCATTGCTTTGTGTCATCATAAGCATGCAATAGAAATGGGATGCCCCTCCAGCATGCCCAGTCATCATGGCGACTTCAAGCTTTGTGCCAAATGCCCAGATGGAAAGCTTTTAATAAGCAGGGAATAGAAAACCCAAGATGTTGCACCTACCTGGTAGAGGTGTCCAGAACGGACTGCCCTAAAAGAAAAAAGGGGAAAAAAGGAGAGTTGCATTTCAGATGTTCCTTGGCAGTTCTGAACAAAGCTAGTCAAATAAGTGTGCTTTTGGGCTGGAAGTTAGTGATTTAGGAAGAGACTCTGCCCCAGTAAAGTATGTTTTCTTTTCATGACTGCTATCCCTTCATAACTTCTCAGAGTCACTTTTCCCCCACTCCACTAATGCTTAAATCACTATTTCCCCCTTCCCATTTCATTCCTCCTCTAGTGATCCCAGCCAGCCATGAATGTGGTAACACATAGCCCTGTATAGTCAATGAGATTTAGCTATTGATTAGCTGATACCACTAAGGGTAAATGAAGCCAGTTTGAAGCAAAGGTAACCCTTCCTACACAGGCCATGTGGGCTATCCAAGCCACAGGGTGAAGATCTTCACAGCCCTATTACAATATTCCTCAATGATGCCTGAAATAGGAAGAGAGCTGTCCATCAATGCCAACCAAGATTTTTCAAGCTAACGCACTCCCTTTGGCTCAGCCCTGGTAATATTTTGCAAGTTTCCCTTCTGAAAGGGGGATGGGTGTTTGGGACTGGGTGATTCCAAGAAGAAAGGACAGAATTGCATCTGGAAGGCCTCCAGCTCCATCCTTTTCAATTAAATGCTAGGGCAGGCAGGTGGATTGTTCTCATTAAGCTCTGATTTATAGGCAAGGCTGCCATCCAGATTAAATTGGAACTAAATGAACTTCTTAAAATTAGCCTTGGGTTCTGTCCAGTGCAAATAAACTGAGTGGCTTGCTTTCCAGCATCCTGCCTAAGCACAGAGAAGCAAATCCCAACAAACAGTTCTGTGCGGGGTGTTCCCTTGATCGCAATGCAGAAAAGTGCAATCAAAGAGTGACCGAGCTGGGCCATTGCTCAGGGCGCTTCAAAAAGTAATGGAGACTCCTGACTGCCCCCCAGGGTGCATTTAGTACTGACACTTAGCACCATGTTTATTTATTTGTTTGTTTTATTTATAAAACTGCAACCAGCAGTCCCAAAGGAGACTCTTTGGATGGTTATACAAACCATTGGCCCTGTATCAGAACATCCTGTGATATGAACTATTTCATTGTGGCCTGCAAGGCCGAGCATTGCCTGTTTTGATGCTCCTATTTTTTTTCCTTAGTACACTAAAACCCCTTTCTTAACTGACCAGACTTCTACAGGAAGGGAGCCCTAACAATCCCACTCCACACGCATGTTGAATCTATGCTCTGCTAATGTCCCACCAGCCATCTCCACCAAGTCACTTACCTGAAATCCTGCTACCTGGAAATCAGTGATGCAGTGGTAAAACTGGAAGTGCAGATGTTCATCCTGACAGTCTCCACAATCAACACCCCAAAGGAGAGCACAAAATTGCAGGCAGCTCTGTTGATATTTGATCAGCAAACCAGTTCTAGCCGTTTTCATCTCTGCCACTAGCAGGACTTTGATAAAGCTGATGGGTCTTAATCGTCCATTCAAGGGCAAGCTGCCTCAGAATACTTAATATTACAACAAGGAAAATATATATTGCAGCTGGGAAAATTAATTCCACCCCAGCTACTCTGAGGAGTACAGGAAGGGCAGGGGCTGGTGACTCCTCCGTCCATGGAGCTGTTCATCCAGTAGCTTCAAAAGTTCTAAAGAAAAGCTGCAATGAACAAGGAGAGCCACTGACTTAGGAGTCACCAGCGTCCTGCTTGCAGCTCAGCTCAGAAGTGACAGGGAATTCAGGGAGGGCTAGCAGATGACATCAGTGTCCATCTTAATCAAAAGTGTTGGCACTGAGTCCCCGTTAGCCTGGCTGGAATTACACAGAAGGGTCTTGCCCAGGTGGAGGACACGAAGCTTGCAGCAAAAAGGGATGCTGTCCCACAGCTGCCCTTGGTGTAGCGCCATGCATCATTTGATTTAAAAAGAGGAAATGGACAAAAGAAAGAACTGAGATGCGCAGTTGGGCTTTGGCACGGCTGTAGACGCTTGCTTTATTTCCAAACAGGTACGGAAATCAAATCAGGAGCTGGTATGGAAGCAGGTATGGAATCATGAGTGAAGGTGACGATGTGAATGGCCCCCAGAATAACCCCAGACATGCAGTTAAGAGACATCTGTACTTCTTGGAAAAGGAAGGCTTGGGGGAGCTAAAGGGATGCCTTGGAAGCTTGGTTTCAATGAAGACCCCATGGCAGCATTCAAACTCGAGAGGTCCTAATCCAGGGGTGTGGAGCCTCCTTCAGCCTCAGGGTCAGCATCCCTTCTGGAGAAGCTCTGCAGGGATGGTGAAGGTGCTCTGCATTCCAGTGGTGGTGGAACCAAAACCAAAATGGGATGGAGCCAAAGGCAAAACAGGGCAAGACTGAACACCAGCATATATAAACTTATAAGTTTCGTTGCCATTAACTGAACTTTACAGGAGACCTTCCGCGTTTTTAGAATGGGCAGGTGGGAAACCATGCCAATCCCAGAAGCCACCCCATAAGCAGCTGCTTGGTGAAAGGGGGTGGGGCCAAGGAAGGAGCAGGACCATTGGGAGAACTTCAGAGGGCTGGGCTGGAACCTCAGGTGGGCTGGATTTAAACCGTGGATAAAGTTCTACACACCTTTTGGTGTTGATCCACTCTCTTCCCACCACAAGCCCTCTCCATCTTCCTGAATGGACCAGTGCTACCCTCCACAGTTCTGCAGCTTAGATGAAAAATCACTAAGCATAAGGGAAAGGATGTGTTCTCCATAGACCCAAATCCAGAACATTTCCACATACTTGCTAACCCAGTTGCCTAGTAATTTGACATATTTATTCAGCTGTGGTCTCTAAACATCTGATGCTGGTGCCTAAAAACAGATGCCGGCACTGATTTTATTGCAATCTGGCGTTTAAAAACCCCCATAGTGAAATTGAATGCAGGCACAACCAGTCTTGATCATGCACAGAATAAAATGCAGGGTCATCTCAGAGAGAGTCGTGAATGGGTGGTCTTCCTTGGCACATTTCTGGGACTCCACTGCCCATGGAGGCAGCCTATTGCTCACTGCACACCCCATCTTCAGAGCCTATAAAATGCTTTCCATAAGGCCTTGACTGGACATATCCCACAGGGAAATGGAACAGCCGAGTCATGCTCCATTGCAAGCTTCATTTATTTATTTTTTTCGAGATGAATGGTGAAGTCCTATGCTTGTTCAGGCAGGAAAAAAGTCACACAAATCCCAGTTTTCCCACCCAGCCTTCTGAGACATTTTTTTCTGTCTGAACATGCAGAGGATTGTGGCCTAAATTCACAGGCTTCCTGCATTTCTGCATTTGCATTCATGTCTCCATCCTGCCGCCCCTGCCACTCTGGACATTGTCTCCATCACAAGCCGTCCGCCTTTATTGCACCCCTCTCCACGCACATTTCTCACCTGCAGTGCAAGCCTGTCCATATCAACAGCTTCTCACTTGCCTCTGGATCTCTTTGTGTGTTCTCCTGAAGCTTGGAGCAAGTGGACTGTTGCCCGCTCAGCATGCCTTCTTTGTTTTTTAGAGCAGAGGTGGGGAAAGATTTTCTTTGCTAAGGGCCAGATTCTCTCAGAATTAGGAGCTGCGTGTTGGTCATGGTGAGGCCAGAGCCAAAGGTGAGTGGGAGGGCTAGACACTCTCCCTCCCTCCCTCCCTCTCTCTCTCTCTCCCTCCCTCTCTCTCTCTCTCCCTCCCTCTCTCTCTCTCTCTCTC